GCAATGCCAATCAAAATCCCAATGGCATTTCTTGTAGAAATAGAGAAAGCAATCATGAAATTCATATGGAAAAATAAAAGACCCAGAATAGCAAAAACAATGCTAAGCAAGAAGTGTGAATCAGGCGGTATAGCGATACCAGACTTCAAACTATACTACAGAGCAATAGTAACAAAAACAGCATGGTACTGGTACCAAAACAGGCGTGTGGACCAATGGTACAGAATAGAGGACACAGAAACCAATCCACAAAACTACAACTACCTTATATTTGATAAAGGGGCTAAAAGCATGCAATGGAGGAAGGATAGCATCTTCAACAAATGGTGCTGGGAAAACTGGAAATCCTTATGCAACAAAATGAAACTGAATCCCTTTCTCTCGCCATGCACAAAAGTGAATTCAAAATGGATCAAGGAACTTGATATCAAATCAGAGACGCGCCGTCTGATAGAAGAAAAAGTTGGCTACGATCTACAGTCGGTGGGGTCGGGCTCCAAATTCCTCAATAGGACACCCATAGCACAAAAGTTAATAACTAGAATCAACAAATGGGACTTACTCAAACTAAGAAGTTTTTTCTCAGCAAAAGAAACAATAAGAGAGGTAAATAGGGAGCCTACATCCTGGGAACAAATCTTTACTCCTCACACTTCAGATAGAGCCCTAATATCCAGAGTATACAAAGAACTCAAAAAATTAGACAATAAGAGAACAAACAACCCAATCAACAAATGGGCCAAGGACCTGAACAGACACTTCACAGAGGAGGACATACAGTCAATCAACAAGTACATGAAAAAATGCTCACCATCTCTAGCTGTCAGAGAAATGCAAATCAAAACCACCCTAAGATACCATCTCACTCCAGTAAGATTGGCAGCCATTAGGAAGTCAAACAACAACAAGTGCTGGCGAGGATGTGGGGAAAAGGGTACACTTGTACATTGCTGGTGGGACTGCAGATTGGTGCAGCCAATTTGGAAAGCAGTATGGAGATTTCTTGGAAAGCTGGGAATGGAGCCACCATTTGACCCAGCTATTCCCCTTCTTGGTCTATTCCCTAAAGACCTAAAAAGAGCATGCTACAGGGACACTGCTACATCGATGTTCATAGCAGCACAGTTCACAATAGCAAGACTGTGGAACCAACCTAGATGCCCTTCAATAGACGAATGGATAAAAAAAATGTGGCATTTATACACAATGGAGTATTACTCTGCATTAAAAAATGACAAAATCATAGAATTTACAGGGAAATGGATGGCATTAGAGCAGATTATGCTAAGTGAAGCTAGCCAATCCCTAAAAAACAAATGCCAAATGTCTTCTTTGATATAAGGAAAGTAACTAAGAACAGAGTAGGGACGAAGAACAGGAGAAGAAGATTAACATTTAACAGGGATGAGAGGTGGGAGGGAAAGGGAGAGAGAAGGTAAATTGCACGGTAATGGAAGGAGACCCTCAGGGTTATACAGTGGAGGGGGTAGAGAGAGAGGAGGGGAGGGGAGGGGAGAGGTGGGGAGGGGGGAGGGTGGATGATGGGAAAGGCAGCGGAGCACAACAGACACTAGTATGGCAATTTGTAAATCAATGGATGTGTAACTGATGTGAATCCGCAATCTGTGTATGGGGTGAAGGTGGGAGTTCATAACCCACTAGAATCAAAGTGTGGAATATGATATGTCAAGAAATTTGTAATGTTTTGAACAACCCACAATAAAAAATTAAAAAAAAAAATAAAATAAAATAAAAGCAAAAAAAAAAAAAAAAAGAAAACCACAATTACAAGTTTTATAGTTGAATATTATAGTTGCCCTTTGAAAGAGTGAGTTTGATTTTTGACTACTTATGTAAAATTTGTTGTTTATTGGGCTCAGTCCTTGAGAGGATAACTGCTGCAGGGTTTTGTTATTTTAGAAGGTTATGTTTTTCATCTTTGTTGTGGAAGGAGCCAGAGAAGAGACTCAGGGCCAGGGGACGTTTATGAAATAATCCCACTTATAAACATCTTTTTTCCTAAAGGAAAAAAAAAAAAAAAAAAAAAAAAAAAAAAAAAAAAAAAAAAAAAAATCAAATGTCACAACAAGAGGAAGTGTTTTTAAAAACATGCTTTGATCTTCTCTCAAAAAACAATGCTCACTCTTGCATTTTCTTTTCTTCTGGCAGATCCTCCCTGAGTCACTGCCTTCCTTTCATTTTCTCATACTTTCTATAACTGTGTGCATTGTCACCTTGAAGGTGACAGAAACCATATACTGAATCTGAATAGGTTTCTATTACTTGAAACATTTTGGAATTTCTTCATGTAAATTAAGAGAGTAGAAAAACCAAGTCACAAGTCAAATTACAAAATATATATCTCAATTTGATTACCACATTCAACCTCAATTTGAATTAGATTTTTTAAGAGCATGCTATCTAATACTATTAAGCTGAAAGTATCAGGATTTTAAAAAATCATAAATAAAGATGTTCTCAATAATTTGCAACAAATTCCTAAACATGATTGTCTAGGATCAAATTGTCTAGGATCAAATTGTCTTTCTGTGTGAATAATCTACTTTGTTGGGTACATACTCATGTAATTCTCTGATTCTGGAACAGTTATTACCAGTCATACCTGTTGGGGCATGAACTTAAGATCCCCAGACGGTAATTTGAGTCAAAGTTACTATAATGAGATGGCATGGGTATTAGAGAAACAGACTCACTTGAGTTGAAAATGCAGCTTCAACTAGTTGTTAATTAAGTGATTTCAGGCTACTAACTGAGCTTTGGTTTGTCAATTTATAATTATGGGAATTGTTAACTAATCTTTATTTTAAAATTAGAAAAAATAAAAGGGAAGAAGGAAGAAAGAAAAAAAAGAAGGAGGGAAGAAGAGACAAGGAAAGGAAAAGAGAAAAAATGTGAAAATTCTTACCACAGTGAGGGAACAGAGTAGCTGCTGGATCGCAAGCCACATTGCATTTCCTTTACCTTCACATGGGCAAAAGAGAACAAACTGGTCTTTGAACACCTCAACCAAAAGACTCTCTACACTGGATAGATGGTATTGATTTTCAGCAAAAAGATAAAAGTAGAAATTTTTATCACTGAAAAAAATAAGGTCGAATCAGGAACAAGCTTGGATAAAAATGGGCTTATTTTACCTGACAAGATGGGGAGATGGTGACTAGACAGAGGGCGGAGTTCCTGCAAGTTGGCAGGTGGCCCAGAACCCTGACTCCTACAAGAAGATGGAAAGGTTTTAATTTAATATTTGATTTAGAGGAGAGACCCTTTTTCATCAGAGTGGCAGCTCATTTGGGAGCCATTGGCAGGAATTACAGTACATCTGGCAACTATATACTTCATTTGGGAGTGGTGGGTGGAGGCATTTGGGTGCTTAAGCTTCTCCACAAACCCAGAGACCACACCAAAATTGAAGCCAGGGAGAGAATTCCAGTCATGGGATTTCAAGACATATGATAAAGCAGCTTTCTTTTGAATATCTTTGTGGATCTGGTTACTCTCAAACAATTCATGCGCTCACACACAGACTCAAAGATGAAGCCATTCTACAAGCAAAGTAATTCACAGATAAATATTATTGATTGTGTTTAGCCAAATACCTTGAGAACATCAGATTGCTGGTTGGCCCAAGAGCAGAGACTTGATCTATGGCTCTGTTATTGACATGCAGCTCTCTCCTCTCCCATAGAGCTTTACATAAAGTTTTTCCTTTTTATTTTTTCCTTTCTTTTTTTTCTTTTGTCAGAAAAAATTATGAAAGTGTCACTTTCCTTTTGCAGTTAATTCAGGAGAGATCCTCAATTCTAGCAGGGCACATTTTCATGCAAATACAGCAGCACAGTTTCCAGCCCCCTAATAGCTTCTTACAAATGATGTGCCATTACAACGAGGTTTATTTAAACAAATTTAATACATCTTTAATCAAGCTGGAGAGCATTTTCAAAGGTCACGCTCCAAATCAGGATCACTGTACTGAGCTTATCAAAGTATTAGCTTAAGGGGGAGGGAGAATTATTTCTTGGACAAGTAATTTTAGGCAAATCTTTATTTACATTTTTATTCAGTTATTAAATTTTATTCCTTTCCCTCCTCCTTCTAGTCTCCATTTATGAACCTATAAGAAAGTCTGCAAATGGAGCTATAAGCATATCACTGCAGCCAGTCCTTCTAGAGGCGACGCCTTTGAACACAGAGACTCTGAAAGGCAAGGACAAGAGACCAGGCATTTTCAATGTCAGAGATAATCTTTTAGTGCCTCTAAAGCATCCTTCCAAAAGGTCTCACATTAGGCTCTGTATACATTGCTGAAATTTTAATGCACTGTTTCTTCCATGGATAAATGAAATAGACATTGAAAGTGGACTCCCATTCTTTCTCCCCTCTGTCTCTGTTTTTCTCTGTCTCTGTCTCTTTCACTACAGATATCACGTATTGCAGGTGAATTTGTATTGCCTACCTGCCGTGTGCCAAACATTGGGTTGTACTTATATCTATGAACTTCTGCTAATTATTCCCACAAACACTAATGAAATTGTCTTAAAATTCTCCCTAACTTTTAAATCTTGTACATGAATAATTTACAGAACAAATGACAGCAACAACAAAAAGATCAGCTTGATGCACCTAAGAAAATTAAGTTTATGTTTAATACAAAAGTCTCTGAACAAATGTCTGTAGCAGGAACCACCCCAAGTAGTCACAATGACTGAGGAAATGTCAGTATTTCCATAGGGATCTCCCATTTTATAAAAATCTACTCCAAGTAACTGCATGGACTAAGATCAAAGGGAAAGTAAACTGTGCAAGACCATAGAAATAGCGGATGGGACAAAGGGAGTTACTCCTAAGGATTTCAATGCTTGTTACTTAGAAGCTTTCAAATTTCTCAACAACATAGAAAGGAAGGAAAGCATCTGAAAACACAACCTAGAGATAATGAAACAATCACACTGTCCTGCTATTGAATTTACCGTGAGGTCTTAGGGAAGTACCAGCAATAACCCGTGGAGTGGCTGGAGGAGAGAGCCAGGAGAATCACAGCAATGATCATTATTGCAAGCCAACAGGGGACAAAGTAAGGCTCCTCCAGGTAAATAACTTGCTGTGATATCCATATTCCAACAACGCAACACCTAGTAGGTAAGAGTAAGGGGATAGGAGGGAGGCAGGAAATAAAACTGTTTATTGCTTAAAGTGGTAAGGGATTCATGTAATCACTACCAGCGGAGCAAGGATCAGTAAACAGAAGTTTGGAATTTGTATTGACTCTCACAATAATTATTGAATGCCTTATTATTAAATCTTTGTGGCCCCAAAACAAACAAATGCAAACAAATTACATGATGAAAAGTGTGTATTTAGAGATATTCTTTCTATATATTTCTCTAACTATTCTAGAGCATTATTTTCAAGGATGTGTGGCTGAAGGGAAAACATGAATATGTGGTAGATTTGGGGAAAATTTTATATCCTAGCCCACAGAAATTAATATGTTCTTTTGAACAGGTGGTTGTTGGGCAATTATTGAAATTTACACTAACATGAAAAAATGACAGACCTTCCTTTCTGTCATTCCCAGGCAAATTATTACTGTCTTGACATGTTCATGTCAGGTATGAGCAGCTCTGCAGTAGTCTGGATTATTTCTTCTGACTGATATCACTGACTTCCTGCAAATGCTGACTGACTGCCTCCCCTTGGCAAGCATGCTTTGAGCGCATCTTCTCTTCTGAAACATTTTCCTTTTTCTCCCTATTCCAGCCCCACTCCCCTCTGCTTTCTCTTATAGAACTAAAGGTTGGAATTCTAGAAATATCGGCACAGAATTTCAGTTCCTGTGGAGCCAGCAAGTGTGTTGATGCCCTAAGGTGTGAGAGGTACATGACACAGTTATGAATGCTCAGCCCTTGCTGCGAAGGCACATTGCTTGGATGGCCATAGAAATATACATCCTCTGGTTCCTGATGCAGATACTCTGACCTATTGGGTGACCTGAGTGTTCACGTCTATTTTTTGAAAAGGTTTACAAGGTGATTATGTAGGAAGAAGAGTAGAATTCTGAAACAGCCATGTTGTCTTCCTAACTAATTCATCTTCTACTTGTGTTGGCAAGTTGCTTATCCTCTTTAAGCCTCAGTTTGATAGATGGAGATCCATTCATTTATCCCTTCATTTTTCCAAAAATATTTATCAGGTGTGGTAGTATATGTTTTACATAAACACATAAATGAATACTTCCTCTAGGAATTTCCAGTCTAGTAGGATAGACTGATTTAAATTTCATAGGTATATATAAAGACCTATAAGAATTGACGCTATCTTCAATATTCTCTCTGGGGAGGACAAAGTTGGGAAGTCTTTACAGATCAAATGATGTTAGCCTGGTCTCAGATGATGACTATATATTTTCACGGAGAAAGTGTGTTTTAATAAGAAAGGGGAATAAATTTAAAACCCAGAAGCATGAAACACATACTATCTTAAGGCTGACAAGTTCTGGGGTCTGGAGAATAAAGTTTAGGGGTCCAAGAATGAAGATAGTAGAGGGAAGTAGGATAGGAAAAGTAAGTCAAGACTAAATGTTCAAGGTTCTAGAAAAACATGCTAAAAAATTTGAAATTATTTTCTTGTTGAAAGGGGGTTACCAGATTTTTCTTTGTCTGAATTTAGCATATAAATGATACACCCACATACACACACATACACACACACAGAGATTTATAATTACAAGGGTAAATTTAATAATGGGATACAGATAGTGACTGAAATAGGAAAACTGAATAAGAAAGGGAAAAAAGAAAGAAAAATTGGAGAGTCATTTCTCGGTTTGAATCAATAGATCTTTTTGTCTATGTCTAGTTTTTTTTTTTAAAAAATCACAGTCATTTATAATTTATGAAGTTGAAAACGCTGGGAAATTATGTACATAGTATTTTTTTGTAAATTGTAAAAAAACACTAATAAACGAAAAAACTTGCAAGGATAAAAGTCATAGTAGAAATTTATAGAGACATAAATTAATCAATGATTCAAATATTAACTTCAAGTTAATAGCTTGAAAGATGTTATCACTGGAAAGTAGACAGACTCCATATGGTATTTGATGAAATCTAAAGAAGAGTGATTTGGTTTTTCAAAACAGTATTATTTTTTTTCACATATTGAGAAATCTGGAATTCTGAAAAGTGATCTTTTCTCTAGCTCTAATTTTGCATGTTAGTCTATATAGACTTATAAAAGTTCGTGTTACCATAGCTTTTTAACAGTGCAATGATGGCAAAACTATTTATTGACTACTTTTTTTTAATTTTATTGATTCTTTTTAGTTATACATGTAGGCTATATCTGGATGAATTACTGGATAAAATGTGATTTACTTGACGTTATTCACTTTTATATGTTTAGTTCATAAAAATAAGAAATCTATATAATCCTTGATTCTTGAATTAGGGGGCAAAGGGGTAGAAGGATGAGTAATCATTCTGTAAAACGGAAGATAACTTTTCTGAAATGCCTTCTGCTTGGGGTATCTTGATTTGGATGAGGAAGCAAAAAGAATTGAAAACCCCAAATACAAATTTGTTTTAAAATAGACTTGATAATGGGGCAGATTTAGGATCTCTATACAACTGAACAGGAGCTATAGAACATTCCTACATGCTTCCTGCCTCCAACAGGCTGTTACAATCCAGGAACTGACGTTGGCATACACTTTATTGTCCTTTAAATCTATAGCTTACATGAGATTTCACTTTTTGTGTAGAACATTTCATGTCTATTGACAGATCATTATATCTATTTACAACATTACTGTATCAAAGAGAATAGTTTGACTGCCCTAAAAATCCTCTGTTCTCCAACTGTTAATCTCACCTCACCACTCAAACCTTGGAAACCACTGAACTTTTTAGTGTCTCTATCATATTATCTTTTCAAAAGTGTCATATATCTGAAATCATAAATTAATTGGCCTTTACAAATTAGCTTATTTCAATTAATAATATTTATTTAACTAATATGACATTTTTAGCTTGATAGTTCTTTTTAGTGCTTATTATATTCCATTGTCTGGATGCAGTTTATTTACACATTCACCCACTGAAAGACATCTTGTTTGCTTTCGAGTTTCGATAATTACTAAGTAAAGTTGCTTTAAACATACATATGTCAGTTTTAGCAAAGACGTGTTTTCAATTTTTCTGGGTTAATGTCAATGAGTACCATTGGGGAATTATATGGTAAGGATGTATCTGATTTCATAAGAAACTGCCAGTCTTCCAAAGCCATGGTACTCATTTGCATTCCCAACCTCAGTGAGTAGGATGTCTTCTTGTTTCACACCCTTGTCAGCTTTTGTGTTATCAGTGTTTTAGATTTTAGCCATTCTAATAGGGGTACAAGGCACTTCAGGTCCTGTGGAATCTAAATTATGAGAAAAGGAGAGTGATAACCTTCTGGAGAATAGTGTATAGAGCCATATCTATGAAGAAAAGTTTTCTTGTCAATACAGTGCTTTTAGGAAATTATTGATATATTCATAGAAATTTTTATTTTGCTACCACACAATCATTGTTTGCTTTGGGAGGTTGAATATTGTATGTTAGAAAAAACTATACACAAGAGTATAGAAGTTAGCAAGCAAAAGGGGCAATTTATGAAAGAACATATATCAGTGATTTGTAAATACATTGTTGAGAATTACTGGGTACTATGGATTACCCAGGCATGGGTAGAAGTCAGAGTCTTTGGTATATGATCCTTGAGAACAGAGGCCTGCATTTACCTAATGAGAACCTGGGAAGTGTGTTCCTCAAAAAGAGATGTGAAGGAAAACAAGGTCGAGACTGGGGGACTTCAAATAAGAGGATTACTCATAGGTACCTGATTTATAATTGAGGCAAGTTTAATAAAATAATTATTCATTATAATTATAATAATTATTATTAGTGGTAGTAGTAGCAGTAGTAGTACTAGCAATTGAACCCAGGGGTGCTTTACCATAGAGCCACATCTCCAAACCTTTCTATTATTATTATTATTATTATTATTTTGAAACAGGTTTGACCAAGTTGCTTAGGGCCTCACTAAACTGCTGGGGCTGGCCTCCAAGTTGAAATTCTTTTACCTCAGCCTCCTGAGTCGCTGTAATTATAGGCACCCAGCTAAAAAGATGATTTTAAAAGTAGTGGTTAGGGTGTAGGAGGAGAAACAACCAACAGATAATGCATTTACCCAAGAAGGCAAACAGAAATAAAGAACTGCCACCCAAAGTTTCAAGGGGCAGGTGGTATGAGGGCACACCAAGGTTGTCACTCAGTATGTAAAGAGGGAGCTCAAACAGTGAAGTGACCTTTGGCAAAAAAGATGGTCTGCATTGGGAAGCACATGTTTCTACTTTCCAAATATATCCCATTGTTCCCCATCAATCAAACTGAACTAGAAGCCAAAGGCCAAAAGGTATTGTAGAAACTGATCTCATAACCCAGTTAAAGAGTACAAAGCAGCACGGTTACAGAAGGGTAGAGAAGGGAATATGCAACACAGTTACTCTGTGGGGGTGAGTTTGTGCGAGAGATAGAAACATACAAAGGGTGAAAGACAGAGTGAGAGAGAGAGAGAAAGAGAGAGGAAAAGTAAAAGAGAAAGACAAAGGTGGAGAGGTATATTTTATCTTTACACATTAATGGGAAGTCTCCAATATTGACATTTTCTCTAGTTTCTCCAATTGTTCAATAAGACATTTTACTAGTCCTGTACTACTGGCCAAAAAGAAAGAAGTGTTCAGAATGAATATGGTGGCCTTACGCTCATGCTGCTGCTGTTGAGGCAAGCAAAGCAGGAGCATCCTGAGCCAAGGGAAAGTGTCGAATCCTGGAATTCCAGTATTTAAACAGCCTCAAGGTCAACAATGAGTGAATACAGGTAGATGTATGATACAGAAAACCAGCCCCTGTTTGAAAGCAGTTTAGTAGTAGTGAGTGTCACCATGGATGGAAAACAACCCTCCTTCCTTTTTAATATGATTTTTTCAGAATCTTCATAGAAGATGACATTTAGGACACACTTTATGAGTATTGTTTTATAGCACATTATTTTGAAAATATCTATGATCACCAACTAGTAAGACAGTTCTGTTTATTTATTTCCAGATTACAATGTATGGTCTTTAAGAAAGATAATCCAAAATTATTTTGAATATTTCATTACTTAGAGCAATATAACAAGTAGATTCTGAAACTTTCAATCGTTCTACAGAAACACTGACTTAAATGAAAGTGAATATTCTACAAATTGACTCCCAGACTGATTTCCCAATACCACGCAGAATGGATTTTGGCCAACTCTTTTCAGCTAATAGGTATGTGATAAAAATTGATTTTATTAATGCATTCTAAATACAAATACAAATGACTATAATGTAGGTATATATTTGAACTATGTTTTCTTCATTGTTAAAACAAATAACTGAAAATTTATCCCATCTCTAATGTCTTTTATTTAGTAATTACACTTATTTTATATTTTGGTTCTAGTTATATAATAATTAATAAAAAGACCAACTCTAATGGAAAACAAGTATAGTGCATACCTCTAGAGAACAATATATCATGTGCTGAATATTATATGTTTGTCAAGAAGGGGTAATTCATTTCAGATATAATTGAAAATGATACAAAAATGAGTGAAGGCATCTTTCAGGAAAATCATTTGACTTCCTACAAATATTAAATGGATGTACATTTATTTCTAAGAGTGTTTTCTTTTCACCTGTGTATCAGCATTAAATCTCTTGAAGTTCTAAGCGTCTCAATACTTGCATTATTATTTAAAATTTTTGCTGATTATAACCAACATAAACTATTTTCTAGCCTTTATGCTTTAGTGTTAACTCTATTTATATTAGGGACTTGGGTGGAGTTTCTAAGTATTAGAATATGATAGTATTAGATATTAGATAACCTAAATTCATACCCGAGACCCTCTAAAGCATGGAGTTATGGTGTAGATTTTATGTAATCTTCACTAAAACAGTATCTGAATGCTAATTAATGTAATTGTACTATAATATGAAGAGTCTAATCCTTCAATATGACCATCAGTATAGCACAAACAGAAAATATTTTTAAATTACTTTTGGTAATTTTCACTCTGTATCACCAAAGTTCAAAATGGTATTTAAATTAATTTCTCTTAAAAGTAAACCAGACACAGTAGTACATGCCTATAATCACAGTGACTACTCAGGCTGAGGCAGGATGATTGCAAGTTTTAAGCCAGTTTCAACAACTTAGCAAGACCCTGTCTCAAAATAAAAAGGCTGGAAGTGTAGCTCACCTGGTAGAGCTGGGTTCAATCCCCAGTAACATACACACAAATAATAATAATAATAATAATAATAATAATAATAATAATAATAATATTCATCATTTTTTATTTTAAAACCAAGTATTTTCAATTACACAATATAATAACTATATGCTTGCCAGCTATTTCACTTAATACTTACAGGCAAAATATAATTCCAAATTTACTTGAAGAATTCAACTAGACTAAAACACTTTAATCTAGAACATTTAAATAAACATTTTATACAGTATTATTTATACTTTATTGGCATTCTAAATTTTTCTTAGTTTTGGTTTGGAATACAGCATGTGTGTATATATTTGTGCATGTGTGTGCATATATACACATATATATTTATATTAATGTCTTCTTTCTCTTACTCCTATTCTCTCTCTCTCTCTCTCTTACACACACACACACACACAAATATACACCCACAATGATAGCTATGCTTGATTTTAGACATTGCTAATTATCTATATTCTGTTGAAATATTCGACTTCCATTCCATATCAAATGTACTGTTCTTTGAATAGCTCTCGAACAAGTGTTTACGTTTCTTTTCACATGGCTATATAAAATAAAAATAATTTAGTGAGAATACTTCTGTAACTCAAATTTGAAATAGTCAAGACAAATCCAAGGTCGTAATGTAAATTGATTTACTTAGTTCAATTCATTTTCATGAGAGCTCAGATGTGGTGTATGTGAAGGAACATTGCCATAAATTGTAATGTTGTACATTGTGACAGTTTATGGCCCAGAGCCCCTAAGCAAAATGATCCACTTTTCAAAATATAGGAGAATCAAGCCCCTTGGCTCACTTTCCCTTGAAGTACGCGTTCTATCCTCCTGCTAAAAGACCTTGTGTAAAGAAATATTACAACTTCCTTAAATGTTCTTTTCTTTGCTTAAGATTTCTCCAAATCAAAAAATGAAAATGAAAAGTTACTGTTTTTTTTTTCTTTTACAACATATTCAATTTCAAAAATTTTGGAACAGGACCCACCATGGAAAATGTTCAAACTTTATCCTCTTGATAGATACTAGATAGATATTTCAGAATAAGATCAATATGTCCTCACATTTAAATAGAACATCCCATTACATAGAGCCAGGCTGTCAAGATTGGATTGCATGTATAATCTTCTTTAAAAGAATTAATGCTTCCAAATGAATAAGATGAAATAGAGTAGAATATCATATTCTCATTGCCAATCTATCACTTTAAAGTAATACCTAGTCAGTCCATCAGCATCAAGAAGATAGGGACATCTGCTACACTTTTCTAAGACAGACTAATTTACATATTTGTAAATATTAAATATAAATTTAGAAATTGATATTTCCTTTTTCTTCTTAAATGGTCATAAATCATTGATGGAATCCGAATATGCTGAATTGATTGCTTCTCTGCTCTCAGAAACACAGCGACTTTTGCTGTCCTTGTTTGTAACATCCTGTGCTGTGACAGGGTACTTGCGAAAAACAAAGATGCACGTATTGTAATCTTCCCCTTCTCTTTCGTAACTAAATATGTTCATTATAATCTTGTGTCCAGTTTTCTCTAAGTGCCTCATTCTGACAGATTCGTTTTCAGGTTTCTGTCTTTTCTATACTTCCTGGTTTCAAGTTTATTTGAGATATGGACAATGCAAACAATATATTAATAAATTTCATACATTTCTGAAGCCTAGCCTCTAGCTGGCAGAATGTGACAGTAAAAGCCAAATAAATTTTGCCAGGGCTTTGCTTATTGAAAACATATGTTGATCAATCTTTTAATCTAGCTTAGAAATAGTTTCAGTACCTTCTCTTGTTCATGTTTTCTTATTTCTAGTTGACTCTCTATCCTACAGCTAAATATATATTAATATTATTTTAAATGTATTTGTTAAGTGACAAATAAGATATATTAAAATGTGAACATCAATTTATAAATGGGTATGGTCCAAATGTTAATCTGAAGATCAGCTGTGTGACATAATATATTTTTCTATAAAAATATAATCGTTACATTCCCAGGCTAGCCCAAACACAAGTCATCACATTTAATCAGTGTTAATCATTCTAGTCTCAGTTCTTGACAGCAGGGGCCCTGTCACTTCAGAAATGAGGGAAATGGCGATAATGAGGACAATTACTTCCCTTCTTTCTCTCTTGGGATTTTTTGTTCTATTGGAACATCTCAACACCTTTTGGGGGGATTAAAAAATATACCTTTATACTTCCCATTATGCATCTGCCTCTAAAATAAAGTTAATCCTCTCTCCTGATTACTAACACTTAAAAATGTTGTATAGATGTCATTTTTTGGTTTTACCCTGTTTTATGAAAAGAACATGATTGCTTTGTATGTTTTATTTTAACCTAACCACAAACCATGTGACATAGGTACTAAACTTATCACCATTTTACAGATGAATAAACTGAGAAAGAGTAGCATTTGGTGGTGTTTGGCAGGATGAGAAAGTGGCAATGCCACCTCCTCTATTCATTCATCCCACTCCCAAACCTATCCCCGTACAACCTCACACAGAATCTGTGAAGGAGGATTGGAAGAATCTGGAAGGAAGCAATGTTTTTGATCTACTTAATTCCACTTTCTCTACTAAACACATTAGAGAAATTTAAACAAAACACTCTTAAAATTCAGATAAATATTGTATGGCTTTAATTTCCATTGAAACAAAAGGTGAAAAGAAGAAATCCTGTTTTAGTCAGAGGTCTGAGGCCCCTTATGCTACTTACCATCTCACATAGGTTGGCCTTCCTCAATTCATTTTTTTGAAAAACAAGTTTCTCAGCATAAAACACGTTTTGCAGTGTCTAGTCATTGCACAAAATTTACAAAAGGAAAAAAACAAAATTAAATAGCCATTATGTCCAATCTAACAGGAAAATGTAATGATAATATTTTAATATACTTTTTCCCAACACCTCTTCCCCCATATTTCTTAAAGAAATACAGGTTTGAGATGTTAACAGTACATTTGTTACTTTTTAAAGCTAATATATAAATTGGTTATTTTCTGAAGTTCTTGCTAATATTTTATAGCTATAATACAAAATGAACGAGTTATATCTCATCATCTACTCTAAGAGGAAAGCATGGTACACAGATCTTAGACCTACTTATTGGACACTATTAACAGGAGTCTATGCTTTGTATGTTTTATTTAGTTACAAAAATGATTGTAAACATTATTTTTACCTCTTTGTCCTGCAAAGTTTGAGATTTATAGTACTGTTATGTATATAGGAAAAAAGGGGACGTGAGGAAGTTAATGTCACAAGATAAATAATGTTCATTCAATTCTTTCAGTCCTTGGTTCCTTTTGTAAGTGCCAGTATGTGGTAGCAAGACAATCACAGGCTAATTCTGCAAGAAAAGATATGAAGAAAAGAGCAACTTATTTCCTACTACTTACTAACCAGTTAATATTTTTCCTTATCAGATAAGCTAATAGCATTTGTTCAATAACCTAATATTTTAATGGTCAATTTCCAAGAATAATTCATATTCTCCTAATTCAGATAGTCATACTGTACCTATACTTTCAACTTGCAGTACTTTAAAATATGCACAAAAACTGCTCTGTATGAACATTGTGATAGATATAGCTCCTGAGGAGGAAAGTATAGCTTCGGTAACAGGTTGACTAGATGTTTTGGTTTCATGTCTGAATGGGTTATGATGAAGTGTTCAGTTACCAGGCCTTCCCTTGGTCTATATGTTACAAGCCTTGTGAGCAATGATAATACTGAACCCATGGTTCTCATGCAGCTTCATAAATATGATGCAGGAATTTCTGCTTTGGCTCTACAAAAATTACCCTTGTCTTTTAAAAGCAAACAAAATCCATCAAATCAGGTAGCTTTCAGTTCTCCACATTATACTAGTATTACAAATTCTGTCTGTATACATAGGAAATAGATTTTTAAATATGATATAAAAATGGCAAAAGTATTTTGAGGGATTATATTTTTATACAGTACTGGGGACTAAAT